CATTTACTTATAATAGCCAAAGAAACAAAAGAGAATCCCACATGACTCAAAACAAGTAAAATGATGCCTTTATGGAGATCTAACGAAATTTACGCTTGCTAGTTTCATAATACCCCTTTCCTAGGCTTTGAACCGGTCGAATATTTGCGGTGAGCCCAGTGGCGCAGTTCTAATAACAAATATGATTTGAGACTATGGTTAACAAATTGGAACAAAATGTTGTGTACAAAAACATCGAGAATTTCCCATCACTACGAACTCATTCCTTCAATTGCCTATTTGTTTGGACAACTAACTACTACTTCGTACGTCCTGCGGCCCATCTACCCTACCAAGTTATAGTCACTCGTCGATTCGTCTAAAAAAGTTACTGTGTGATCCAACCAATCATCAATTCAGGCTGGTATCCATCTAGCAATTCATTATGCGAAACTTGAAGTTCAGTGGAGAACAATATCAAGAATTAGGTGGCATCTACCCCCTTAAACCCGAAAAACTCACAACTAATGTAATGAGGTTCTTGTGTGATTCCATTGGAAACCTTAAAGACGGTAAGAGTAGGTTGAAGGGAGAGCCCCCGATGTGGTAGACAGTACATCATTCACCTGCTCTTATAATCAGTCAGCCGCCTCGACGTGCATTCATTCATGCGTCCACTCACCCTACTTCCCAGTGTCTATCTTAGTTCTTTTCATTTATTTATTCAGTCAACCAGACGACCAGCTTGGCTACTGATTAGTTGCACATTCTATCACCACTCCCTCTGCAGACTCATCTACCAGTCTGTTTGTTCAGCCGCTAGTCTATCCATCATCCATCCATCCACCCAACCACCCTACTTTATCCACCCAACTATCCCATCAATCAGTCAAAATGATAGGGTATCAAATAGGATAAGCATTACAAAACTCAAGAGATCATGAGTTCTCGCTCTTCCACTCCTCCAAGAAGTCAATTTTGCAAGAATCAAGCGGTGTTTCATCGTTCTCCACCGTGAAAGGCTCGACAGTGGTACACCGTAGATTCCGTCTTATGGCAACGATGACTCGAAGAGGAAAAAGGTCTGGCTCGGAGAGATGTACGTAAAGAGAGAGATGTGGCACCGTGGCCCAGTACTCACCCAAACAGCCACGTGGTGCCTCCACTCCATAGCGCAGGTTGTTGGTTGCCAAAACTGCAATATGAAGGTCAGCGGAAATACGTCTCAGCTCAGCAGCGATTGATTGTAGGTGGAAGTTGGCTAGACAAAATGAAGACATTACCGTTGTTGCCTAAACACTGTCGGAAATATGTTGTAGAGTGAATATCTGTACCATTTCACATTGAAATACGGTACTGCCGATATCTTTCAGCGAGTATACACATTTGCGCCTACAAAATTACTTTTATCAATTTCTTTTGGGAAAAAAAGGATAATTAATTGGCTTTCCTGAACTGCACCTTGAAGTTTGTAAAGGCTAGTGGCCTGGTGAGTAATCGCGTTGTTTGGTTTAAGACAGCCTATGGGGCTCTTAGGAAAGGTTGTGGAAGTTTTGGCATAAAAAGATAAAATATCTCTAAAAGGCTTTCTTGAGTGTTTTGTTTTGTTAAAACAATCTACAAGGACAAACTACAACCCTTTCCTGAGGCGATGCGAGCTTGTTATTCCACGTCAATGACATGTGCTGGCCCTAGAAGCAGGCCATCTCCATGCTAAATGTGATTGACTAACGATAATTACAAAAATTAGCTTGGGTCTACAAAACCTGCAGTGTTATCATTCTAGTTCAAACGTCAAAACTCCTCACACCTAAGGCTTTTGACAGTATGAAGTCTTTTATTTTTTTCAAGATCAAAGACGACCTTATTTCCTTTGAAAGGTCAGCTATGAAGGTTTTTTGCCTGCCCACCTTCAAGCTGTTCAAAGCCGAATCGAGCGTTTGTCTAGCTGTCAACAAGTAATCTACACCATTCACAGATCAGCATGCACGTCCGTAGAGGAAAAAGGGAAGCAAGAGGTTGTCTGAGCGTAAAGAGTGGATGCTCAGGTGAAGTGGTTAATTAACAGGTTGTCCATTGATACCTATCATGCACACAGGACCCACTTAAGTAAAACAGCTTTTCTATTACTCAAATTGTCTCATTAAGTCCAATGTTAATTATGACGACATGCAATTTCCATTACAAAGAATGAACTACCTTCCACAATTTGGTGCATTTTTACCTTTGCGACATTCCTAATAAAAGCGGTCCTATTATTTCCAATCATTTCCAAATGCCAAGCAGAGATTCGAGATCTGGCCTCCAAGTCAGATAAAGTGGAATTACGTTCGCTACCCTTAAATGAAACTGGACAACAAAACGGTGACGTCGTGGTAAGAGGTAAACAGTGGAGGAAAAACATACCGAATGTTTCAGTAATCCTGTAGGACAGAGTCAGATGAATGAAAACACACTAAACCTTTATTTTTGAACTTTGGTAATTTTTGGCGTCCAAATTAGACTAGGCGAAAAAAATGGGGAAAAACATTTGGAGGTTGGTTCGTTATGTCCTCCACTAAGATTGTCTTATGAGTGCGAACCTTCGAAAGTTTGCTGGAGCTTCTCACATGCGACCACGAAACTAGCATATTTGTCAGGGTCCAAAAAACTTGATCAACGTTTTGTACTAAGCTCCTTTTATCAATTCTGTCACTTTTCTTATGGGGATAGACAGCCACTTTCCATCTTGCACTTTGAAGAACTGGAGACTTGAAATAAAGCAACTATAGTAGCTCAGGCTACTGTAATCCAAGGAAAAGGCGATGTCATACGATAAGAGGCGTTACCGCTTAACGGACATTGTTGTTAGGCGAATCCTTAATATGCTACGCGATTTCATCGGCGTGCAGCAGCAATGCAAGTTTGGTTGCTACTAGTTACTTTTAATCAGCAGTATTTGGTGTGAAGTTGTTGACAAGCCGTTGACAGCAGTTGCCTCGGTTATTACATTGCTAGAATAAAAAAGAACCTGGTGCTGCCAAAAAAACCGGAAGGTTTACTCGCCTCAATTAGAAGAGAAGTCCAATCATGGTGACGGTACACACACCAGCCGATGAAAGTTGGATTCTATTTTAACAAATGGACAATGCACACAAATGCGCAATCCGGATACCCTTAACCAGAATGGAGGGCAAAAGTGATAGAAATGCATGTACACAACATCATATGACGGGTGACGGAATGGAGAAAGACCAAATCCTGAACACTGAGTGTCGAGTGTCCGCTTGTATGAAAGATCTCAAGTGCGGTACTGTGGTGGGGCTCTCAATTGATCGGCAATAAAACTTTTGAATGGTTTGAGTTCACTCATTTAGAAAGTGGTCTGTAGTGCGCCTGTCATGGACAACCTAGACCGACATGTTCAGCCAATAGATACGCGGTCATTTCCGTCGACATTCAGTCAGCATGGAGACTGCTTGATTGACGCACAACTTGCCATGCCAAAAAACCGCAGACGAACAGCAGAAATTCACTATCGCTGCTTAGAGCAGTTGAAAAGCGTAGGAAGGCGAACGACTAGCAGATTACTACAAAAAACCGACCATTCTAGACAATTACAAAGACACTTTCCAGGATTTCAAACAGTCCTAGCAACACCAGTAAGGACATCCTAGTGTAGGAATTCCCAGGCCAACTCGGAAGCAAGAGGAAGACGAGTAATCGCACGACTTCATGATTAATAATAAGAAAGCAGGAAAAGCGCTCAAATCTAGGAGAAAGAACGCAATTCCTGTTCTCTAGAGCGTGTGCTTTGCTTAAAAGTAGTTTAAGGATTAAGTTCCTAGCTTCATCACATGACTCTCAGCCCTCATTGAACTAGGTAAATGAAGTAAATGGTTATAGTAACACACATCGGCACTAGACCGATGCATCAGAGCATTTCTCAGGTGCTAAATTGGAAGACTATAAAGGACTCACTCTCGTTGGGAAATGCGCCAATGAAGGGAGCGAACGGCGCAGTGATGCAGTCGACGATGACTAAGCGAAGTTTTGAGTAGAAGTTAAGTTCCTCAGCGCTCGACTGGTCACCGTAAGAAGGTGCCTCCTGCAACGACGCAGAGGCGACCCACAAACGCGTCTCCACCAATCCATCCGTTAAGCCTTGAACCCCAGGAACGAGGCGGTGCCAAACGCGGGAGAGGCAGTGATTGGTGGAGTGATCAAGATCATTCTGAAAATGTAAATAAGAACCAATACAACTCCATTTTCTTTCTATTATAATTTATGTTAGCAAACTAAAAGGGAAAGTCTACAATAAAGGCATAAGAAACACACCCTTAGAATAAAGTTAAGCTTCCTTCGATGTCGCTCGCCCCAGTGATTCCGATTAAGAAAACACAAGATCTCATCTCTCGGAAGCCTTAATGCCTTACCAATTCTTCTTTGAATTCGGGTCAGATAGTCGCAGGGAGGATGGGCTGGGTTGTGGAGCAGAAAAAAAGAACATCAGAAATGGAGGCAGTCACGACTAATTCCCCTGCTTCTAGCAGCAATATGTTTTCAAGCTATGGAATTACACAAGCGTATAAGTCACTGGGAAAGGATTACAAAACGTTGTTGTTGAGCGGTTCAATAACCAAAATACTCAAGGAATCTTTCTTTTGTTACTCCTTTGCTGTCTAATATCTGACAAAATTATATTTTTATATTCATATTTTTATAAAAGGAGGCTTCATTTTGGAAGAAAGCGAAAAAGCATTATAAGCACTTCCCAGAGGTGGTATTATTGCATGTCCCAAGTGCTTGCCTCTATGCCATCACTTAATGATGGAAGAAGTAGCAGTACGATCACTTCTATCATTAAGGTCAGCACAAGACGACTGCAGAGGTTTCATCAAGACAAAAATCCGAACTTTCAACAAACCTTACGAATGACATGGTGATTTTGGTGGAGTATATGGAGATCTCTGAAATGATATAGACAAGGGAAAAGACATGTAATCTCCGACATCAGCACTACTCCTTAATATGAGGCTAGATTTCGTGGACTTAGAAACTGATATCAGTGAGAGAATGAGACTCACGTAGTAAAGAGGAGGAGAAGGAGATTAGGAATCATTCATTCATATTTGGTTAAGCCTCAAGAAGTTTCGTTTTCGACTTGACTTCTTAGCCTGCCGCTTGCACAGGACATAAACAGCCGCATTTGATCGACGCGCACAGCATTTATATTTGAGACCTGATTAAGTATGTTAGAGACAGACAAGAAGACAATTTGTAAACATTGCAGGAGTCATATTTTTTAACAATTAATGCTGATAGCCGTCCAAACGAATGCCTTTCTAATGGATTTACGCAAATAAAATACATCGATTTTAGACGCAAAACAGGAGAATTCTTTGGAATGCGAAAACAACAATCAGAGGGGTAACTATTGCTGACATGCAAATGTTAGTCTCGTGGTGGGTCCAAGGCTGCTGGGCGCTACAGAGGCAGTAGAGGTGTCAGAGACAAAAAGATCCAAGAGAAGAGGTTGTTGATGGCAGTACGCTCACGTGAAAGAGCGGCTTACCACCCAAATACTTTACAGTAAATGCTTTCTATACTTTAGAAAATCGAAAGCTGGAAGGGAATTGCAGCTGCCAAGGTTAAGCAGAATATTAGAGCCTACATGTTAGTACTCATGAAAAATAGATTTGAGGGAGGAGGGAGGAGAATAACAGAAAGGTATGGTAAAATGGAAACACGCTCTTCCCCTAGGAGACAGACTTGAATGGAACTGAGTTAAAAGTAGTAGAGAAATGCATGTTTATAGACCATTTGCCAAAGTTTTGACCATGCTATAATTCTAATCTGGCATTATTTCAGTCAAAAGCTTAACTATGCATAAACTGACACAATCACATTCGTTGGATTTGAGGAGAAAGGAGGCTCACACACAATCGGAGACTTGACAAGCGAATATTTATGGCTCGTATCATAAAGGCGAAAATCGACATTAAGCAAATTCTGGTAATGTTCGTTTTCTTCTAACCTCTACGTCCATTAAAAGCTATTTTGGGCAATATTTTGGATATTCCGATAACTTGTCTTCTTATTTTTAGGGGTCTGACTCTCCACTTCCATTTGCAGCGCTTGAGCTCCAAACTCTCCTAGCAGCCTCAGTTCCTTTGCATCAGTAACGCAGCCTTCATTATGCCTTCGCATTGGAGAAAGATTCAAAGCGCTGCATTTTTCGGCAGCAAAAATCAAACTCGACCCTGGGAGCCAAATTCTCTGACATCCATTACTGAAATCTATAGCCTAAGGTGACGAAACCAACAGAATTCTATTAACAACTAAAACGGAACCAGACATAGTCGTAAGACACGAAGTCAGTTGAAGAGCTGTCGAAAGAATCCGTATAGAGATAGCAATTCGAAAGCGCAATACTTTTGACTCCTCTCCACAGCTTGGATGAAATCCGGACAGATTTGGTTGAGCAGCACTAAAGTTCAAGCCAAGCAGCAAGGAAAAACAGAAGCGGTGACAGATTTCCTTGAAACTATTTTGAACTCCGCTCCTTATTAAATGTCCTTACCATAAGCAGTTGACATACGAGGTAGTTGATGCGTTTTCCTTCCTCCCAAATACAAAAAGAACAGAATGGAGTTGGAAAAGTAAGTCGGAGATGGCACTCTGCTGCCGTAGTGCTATGGCTCATTTCTAGTCCTTTGCTCTCGACCAGTGATCCTGAATTTAGGCTAAACCAATGATTGACTTCTAGTTGAGCAGTACCTTTAACGAAGCCATCTTAAAGATACCCTAAATAACAGTTCCAGAGTCACAAAATCGGTCACAACTACACTAACGGACGCCGAAGTTGACCGATTTGTTAGCTCGAAAGACTCATTATTTCCGCAACCCAGACGTTTCATTTTCACACAGAACGACATTTTTGTATTAAACAATGATTGGAAGACGATCAGCAGCCCCAAGAAGAGACTGAGCCAAGGTATAACCCTTATTACAACATACGAAGTTATGCTAAAGACAAGCAGAAATACATCAAGTACATCTACGCTTAAGTTAACTGGTTTCAAAATTACTCTTTTAATTTTTTGACACTTTTTCTACACCGATTTTCTTGCCTTATTGCACATTTTGCACAACTTTGGTACGGTTATTTAGAGAGATCAATTAAGTTGTAAAGGTAGGAGCATTCTTGAATCTTGAGACAGCAAACAGAGGTCGCCAGATCTTCCCATGATACTGTTCTCAGGCGTCTGGGGAAAGTTTTAAGTTGGTAGGTTCAAACATCTGTGATAGTACTGCCGTTCTTCTCCGAAAACCTCAAGTTTCAGAACCCTTTACTAGTGCCGCAAGAATAAGACTTCTCAACTCCCAATACCACCAAAAACACAAACTTTTATCCAAGTGTTTTGATTACTTCCGATCCTCTACTCGTTCTAATGTAAATATTATGAAGGTATGACAGCTGAAAATAAATGCCGCTCTTCTTCAAGTACCGAGACCATGTTCCACAAAAATGCCGGTGTTGTGTTCCCATAGCATCAGGTCTTACCTACAATCGTCGAATGCTTCAATAGGAAATGCTGTCTCAGCAACTTGTTATTGGGATCATTTATAGAGTGTGAATGCAACGAGCACATAGAAGGAAGGCTTAAGTACCAAATATCCAGTTTTGGAAGTGGAACTGGGACCTCTGTGTCAATTATTAAATGTGACACACTGTAAGTCCTGAAGATCTACAACAGTTAATCCAACTTCTTATTCTTAACATTGTATCAAATTGTCATCATTAATGCAGTTCCCCAAATTGTACCGTTTCATTGAAACCTCTATAACACTGGTCTCCTTGCCCTTTCGTACATTTACACCAAAGAATTCTTGCAGTTTCATGAGAAACAACTGGGACATACCACATCCTCCAAGTGGCACTTCTTTTTCAACATAGAGCGAATGATGCTTCGCAATCGGGAGGCATCAAACTCGCCCTTGGTGTCGAGGTAGAGGACCGTAGAACCTCGAGCCTCCGTCAAAGATTCAGATGGAGGAGAGCCGGATTGAAAAAGATGTGACGAAATGACGGTAGCCGCTGCAGCACTGTGGCAGATCTACCAAGGTCAAGTATGAAGGAAAATAAGTATTTAATTATGGCAGACTTTCGAAAACAGCTAGTGCCCTACCAGGGTCTTCCCGACTGCTGAGGCTCCAAAAACCTCGGTTATCTCGCCAGTCATTAAACCACCGTTGAGAAGAGAATCGAGCCTAAGAAGGGAGAAGGTAGCGGTCATTCTTCAGGTCAATAGGGCTGAAGGGTTAGTTATGACTTCAAAAAACATTGCGCCAAAACCTACCATTATAAATTAAGGTCGCCTACAATTATACCGTTACCGCGAATGAAATCCTGAAAGCCATTTGTCTTCATCATAGCAATAACTAGGACGGGTCTTTTTGAATTTGGTAATGCACAACCAAGTTCTCAGAGTAAAGTCAAATCACCCAAAATCTACAGAAAATGCGCTTATTCCCAAGGTCAACGAGCGGGCAAATCGGCTAATACGTTCCAAATTCAAGGGCTTAGCGAAGCAGTCCAACAGAAACCAATAAAAAACGCTTGTCGCAGCGTTGTGCGTGGGGCGTAAAAATCACCCCCAGTTTAACGATAGCAAAGGTAAGATGGATCAGAAAGGCTCATTTACTCGAATTCCACTAAATGGTATGTGCTTTGAAGAAACATCTATTTCTTTGGGCAATTTCTGGTTTAGCCATTTCCAAAGCAAAATTTTGAAGCACCAAAAGTATGATTGGCACGTATTAAAATTTCGACTGCGAGTTTGCCTACTGACAGAAATAGAATGGTAACCTATTGCACTTCTATACAGTCGCCATGTTTAAAAGTTTAGCACGTACAAATCCCCTCTGACTGGCAGATAACAAGGCATGCGAACCAACGAACTTTGTCACATGTTGAAATAGGTATATCAACCATATAAGCAGAGTCTGATCATCAAAATACAGTGGTTAAACTGTTTTCAATGTAAAGACAGCCTTAAAAATAACCCATTAGCACATAAGAGACGCTATACTTTTAAACCGTGTTATAATTAAAACCATATGCCCTTTTCTGTTTACAAGAGACAGCATAAAACATCAGCATACAAAGATAGTAGTTTCAAAGTTCACATGACAGAGTCTGTATCCAGGTTCTCCCTGTTCTTATCACACAGTGCCGTTAACAGGTCTCCTATTGCAAACTTTAATTTACCTTCTTGTTGGGAGTAAAAAACGGACAAAGTAAACGTACTGAGAAAATCCCGTTGAGATAAAGCATCGATTAGCTAAGCAGTCCTTCAGAAGGTCCACTCCACTTATCACGCGGGGGGCCCATTGTTTTAAGATCAGACGTTGAACAGTATGAAGACTCTAGAAGGTCAAATGTGAACTTCAAGAAAAGCGTGAACACACACCACGTCACCACACAAAGTGGGTACGTGATGTCAGGCCTTTGGTGGTTGTGCTGATTAACACTTTAATGGACTACAGAGAAATAGAAGTAGGCAGACGAAATGGGAAGTAACGTACTCGGAGAGGCATAATAAATCATTGAAACTAATCAACACCAAAGCCAAATTAGGTATGTTATTTTATGACCGATTTTTGGGAATATTAAGTTGCAGTATCCACTTTTACAAATAAATAAGCAAGGTTAGAATATTCCAACCATTTGTGATGGATTTTCACTGACGGATTACCGCACGCTGATGGGCAACCTAGTGCAGACAATGTGGAAAGATGAGGAACCAAACCAGTCGCTTCGCCTTGCTTTAAACCTCACTTAACATATCTGTAAGGCTAATGGCAAACGTACCACCAGGCCGATACACCCTTGTGCCATTTTAAAGTGGACATCGGTGTCAATGTTAAGTAAGTCAACTTCAACGAAGCACTGTGAGAAAATGTACAACTTCAGTTATATAAATAAATAGCTAAATAAATGGTTGTTGAATGGGAGCTTATCTACAACAAAAGGGTATCGAGAGTGTCACGTTTCGGCAATCTTCCAACCTCAAGTGGGTCCAAATCCGACCTTAGCAACATTTGAGCAAGTTGCAGTGGCCTATTACTATATCTTTAGATTGAAGTTCCTCTTCTTCTACTTGGCGGTCTTGTTGCGTAAAACATATTCGCCGTTGAAGATAAGCGATCTCTTAACAATTCCTCCTCATTACGGTTCCCCAACCAGAAATCGCATGCACGTCACTGATGAAAGAAGGCCAATTCATGCTTCAGTTTTTGTCCAACCGAGAGGCTGGTTAAAACCGCTGAAAGGTTGCCCAATGGAGGTGCTATTTAGCGAAGGGATTTACCAAGATTGCGTGACTAACCCCAGGACCTATTTGACCCCGTAACTTGAATGAAAAGCTGCCGTCGTATGCAGGCCACGCATGACCTGTGCCTTCAAGCGCCCATGCAACGTTATGACATAAGATCAGAGCAGTGAAATAATGTTAGAACTTCTTGATCTCAACCAAAACTGCTGTTTAAGTCTACAAAAGCAAATACTGGTGCAAATGGCCGGATCAGTGGAGATTCACAAAAGGTCTATTGAAGGTGATGAACAAAGGCAAAGTGTACAATGTTGATAATTTTTAAGAGACGCCGAATCCTCACCACAATAAGTTCAGAGGCACGTTTGGGTTGATGCTGTTTACCGAATGAAGTCCATAAAGGCGCAAATTCATAAATTTTGACACGCAATCCCCAAATGACAACGCCCCAACTCCATTAACATTCAGTAACCATTTAAAAACTAGGTCCTAGGTAGCAGCAAGTGGCGAAACAGGGCTACAATTGAAATAATTAAAAGCATATTCAAGGAACTGCTTGCAATTGTGCATAAAGGATTGGGTTTATGCTATAGGGCTATGATTCATCCGCGACAGGTCTCCCTTCGAAGATCTGTTAGAATACGGTATAGCACTGCTGAGTTGAACCCTCCCTGACGCACTTCAAGTAACAGAGGTGGTCCACCTAAAGTATCATTATGACCAATAATGGAATCAAAGGTAGCCTTCGCTACCGCCTCAAGGCTGATTAATATTAAAAAGCAAATCGAAACAACCGACGTAGAGAAGCTACCAAGAGTAGCTTCAGCAATGCCGTTAGAAAAAGCACCCAATACAGTACAATGCTATTCATAGCAATCGGTTAACTGTATTGGCCTCTTAGTCTCCGAGACTCAGCCTTTGTAATGGATTTTATAGCCTCTTATCGTCATTGCTCGTTCCAGTAGCCGTACAAGCATTCTAGAGTTTGACAACATCCACATTTCCAGCCCACTAAATCACTAAGTCTTAGGCTATAATTCATGGTAGTGAATGTACAAGAACCCTAAATGACAAGCAAAATGGTTAATGAAAATATTGGCCCTAACTGCTTTACCAAATTAGAGGTGTAGGTAAAGAGCTTCCCGTAATGGAACCAGTTAAAAAAGGGGAGAGTCACATAACGGGACCCCGTATTCCTTCAGGTGAGTAGTCTTGGCAGCGATTGCGAGGTAGTGGATACATTCATTCCCAAAAATGCATCAGAATCGACTAAAGGTATTCAGACACCATTCGAGGTTAAGACTTTTCCTCCTCCCCACAGAGTTGTTAATGATGCCCTTTAAATCTCTTGTTATGGTAGCTTTTTGACCCGGAAATGAAATGTCAGTCGTCTAAACATACAGCTGTACCTATTAACCTTACAACGTAGCTACAGGGAGGAAGAGGGAGGAGAAAAGGGGAATGATTTAGGAAGTCCAGTGTCATAGATTTACAATTCCCTTCACCTCAGTTCAGCATCAAAGCTCAATCATATACTTTAGCCTTTGCCCACTGTGACTAAAATAGCAAAGCCAGTATCATAAGGATTAGATGTGATTAGCATACAGTTGAGGGTAAACTCGAGAGGTCTAGTTTTCCGTGGGACAAACTTGATTATTCACAAAAATCATCCCTCTGTAAGCAGTTTACACCTTCCACCTCCCGTTACAGAAGACAAAGGTTTGTTACCCTTAGCAAATAAGCAGGCTAACTAGCAAAAGAACTCACCTTCATGGAAAAAATTGATGAAGGAGAGGGGACTGAGGAACAAACTTCCCAGAGGGCTGCCGATGGTTTAGATGTGCTTGCTTGAGGATTATCGCTACCAGTGCCTTGATGAAGGAGAGCAGACTCAAAGTCAGTATTGTGGAAAAGGAAGGGAAGCAGCGGTTGACCCAACAGAGCCGACTGCCGAAGCCGTTTGAATAAGTCACTCGAGGTTTCTCTGGCCTCTTGAGGATCGAAAAATTTGGACGACTGAAAGGAGCGGAGTGAAAAGAAGCTTTGCTGACTGGTTGGTCCTGAAGACGTTTGAAACCAAATACAAAATAACGTCCTAATGGCCGTTCTTCAAAAAGCGCGTAATGGTGAACTGGATTTAAGTATGAGAAAATGTGAATCAGTCCATTTGAGAAAACACATCAACGTCTAAGGATTATGCAGTAACAACAGCCACAACCTAATGCGAAACTCGCAGCCTCGGAAGAGCCAGACTTTGCAGCTACAGTTTGCTCTTCATGTCTAAACAGTTCAAGCATTCCGTATTTAGTGGTAAAATGCATTAAGGCAGGAATTTTAGCTTAACGCAACACAAATGTGCTAAAGTTTAGCACCAGATTATTCAAAAAGATCATTAAACACGGAAGGTGGATAAAGTATACAAACCCTCCAACACAGCTCCCTTCCACGCTGTAGTAATGGTTCAAATCTTCGGCGGTAGTACCTTGCGCTTATAACCACAGTCTCACTACCCATTCTTTGCTATTAAGCTTTGGAGTACTAAGATTGGAAAACTCGCACGACCATGAATAGCCTCAAGCAAGTTGGCAGAGGTGTGCTGATCTGTTCTCAAACGTAGTGAAAATATGAAAGAAAATAAGGGTAACCACACGACATGAACGAATCTGATCACATGTCCGTTGGTCTTTTGTGGAAAGGTCCATGACTAAAACTGCAAAATTTACACTTACATCCTGACGAAGCTTAGCAAAACACGAACTCAGACACCAAAAACGCGACCCATTGAAAATTGCTCCCATTTGTATTGCTGGTCCACCCCAAAACCTAGTACGCAAAGCCAATGATAAGCTACTTGATAGCACCCGCGAGAAGAGAAAGCAAACTTTGTCAGCTCATTCGCCAAGGCTAGAAAAAGCAACGTTACTTCGACTGGAGTAAACTCCGGAAGGCATGCGAACAGTAGAGAAAGTGATATACGACAGCAACAATGAAGAAATAGGACACAAAGGAGAACTTCATCAGCAAGATCTGTATTCTCCCACATAAAATTTTTAACATCCAGAGAGTAGGGATGAGAGAAGGGTTCACAAATGAACTGCGTCAGCAACTGTTCTAGGAACACTGTACATGGATTGGTCAGAGCACGAGAGCAGTGGGAGGAAAGGGAGACCAAAGGATAGATATCAGGCTAGTTATAGGGGAACGTGATTAAAGAGGTAGGACACTGATTCCCCATTGTGGGTGCGACGAATCGATTCCGCTAGCACAGTACTGATGTCGATACACTAAAAGGGAAAACATATTAAGGTGCCCCCACGGATAGATAAATGCAAGCCCTTTGTAATCGCGTTCAACAACCTACTCAAAAATTACAAACGTTAAGAAATCCTAGCCTACTATTTTAAGAGGCAGAGGAAACGGAAGAGAGCATGAGGATTACCAGTCCTAATCCTTCAATCGTACAGTTTCAGCTACGCATACGGTGAGTCCTCAAAAGGTCTTGTGGAAAAAAATAAAGGGCACTCACGTAGAGCTTGGGACACTTCTTCATGTTCTCCTTTTGGTCAATTGTGTTGGTGACAACTACGGCTTCGAAACAAGAATTGTTGATTCGATCAATAGCAGGACCAGAGAAGATACCATGAGTACAAATCGCATAGATGCGAGTAGCCCCAGCCTCAGTCAAACTAATTGAGCAAAAGACCAACCAGGAGAGGCGGCGAACAGAAAAGAATAATCGTCAACGGAAATCGATTCATGCAAGATCTGGTTTAATCAAGGGTAAGATACAAAAGTGACAATCATGAAACTCGCAACTCCAATGGGTAGGAAGGAATTGCTTTTCCAATGAATAGGAAAACTTCGCAAAGGAATTATTTATAAGCACCGGGCTACGCTGCTTAGCACACACAAGCAATCATCCGTCGAGATTTATGAGAAGCTAAACTCCAAATTCAAAGCCAAACACCCCTTGAGAAACGTCACATACCGATCGGCGGCAGTACAAATTGTGCCGCAAGTATCGGCCATGTCATCAACAAGAATGGCAACCTTTCCTTTAACATCACCAACAAGAACCATTCGATCGACCTCATTAGCGCGTTTCCGCTCCTTATGAATTAGAGCGAACTCTACGTTCAGTTGATCGGCTAGTGAGGTCACTCTAAAATTAGAGTATATTGCTATCAATGACCAAAAAGCTACAAAGGAATCCATTACATGGAAAAAAGGATTCTTACCTCTTAGCACCACCAGCATCAGGACTAACGACACAACAATTTTGCCAATCGTCAATGTTTTTTTGAATCCACTTGATGACAGCTGGCTCGGCATACAGATTGTCTACAGGTATGTCAAAGAAGCCCTGAATTTGACTGGCATGGAGATCCATTGTCACGATATGATCAGCGCCGGCAACTGACAACATGTTTGCAACAAGTTTTGCCGAAATTGGGGCCCGGGACTTGTCCTTATATGGGGCAAGAAAGGTGTATATGTGAATACGACTTCATCTCAAAGGGCTGAGTATGTATGAATCGATAGCATAAAGCAGAACAAGGTATAAGTAGTAATGACATCTTAAAGCATAAACAAAGCATTGTCTAAAAGGAAAAGCAGACGATAAGGCAAAGTCCTCAAAGTACCCCGAAGACCTAGATAATAATTAAAAGTCAGTGCGCGCCCAATTAAAAACAAAGAACTTAGAACGTAGGAAAGAAATCATACCTTCTTGTCTTGCCGAGCATACGGGAAGCAAGGTATCACCGCGGTGACCCGACAGGAAGAAGCAATTTTACAAGCATTAATCATTATGAGCAACTCCATCAAGTTATCATTAACTTCACCGCTTCCTGTCTGCACAATGTAAACATCTTCACCTCGAACCGACTCAGCAACCTCAACACTTGTTCCAGATGATTTATGAACGTCACTACATACCATGTTTCCTGATTACTGAACTTCTTGGAGTTGACATGTCCAAGTTTGATACCGATGTGGTCGGTTATTCTCTTAGCCAGATCGACATTAGAGCTACCAGCAAATATCTTGATGTTCGGCATGCCTACGCGAATCAGACTAGTGCAACCACCGCCACGACCGAACAAATAGCCACAGTCGACAAACGCGGCGATCGTGACAGTTGTGTAAAAAGTTCTTAATATTAAAATATGTAACAATCAGATATTACTTGCTATATTTTATAAATCGATTTAGCAGCCCTCTATATAGGGCTTACATTGGGCGAAAGAGTTCAGATGAACTTTTATGTAGCCACCTTTAAGAGTGACGAATTTCAAATTCACTATTTATAACTTTTTCTGGCTTATCGACTCTGTTGTGTGGTGGCTTCAAGCTAGTGCAGTGTAGCACGTATAAGTGGCATGAATTTATAGGATTCTTAATCCCCTGTAGTTCGTGTTTTATTTCGCGTTGTAACATCGATATCGTGTTAACAATCCTCCATTTTCTCGATTTTTAGTCACACGTTTAATTTTATTATCACTTTTGTTTTTATGGAGGAAAATTTAAGGGCGCTGCGATATTGCTATCGCCGATCAAACTCACCCAAAAACAGCAAGTTAGGACACCCGGACCAACTCGAGAACGGAGACTCATTACTTTAGTAGAGCAAATGGACTTGGCGACAGAATGGTATTGACATAACAAAAGGCATTACGGTCGTTCCGGTATGCGTAACCGAAATCCGAAGTTAAAAATGCAGCTAAGCATTGAGATGACTTTTCTTTATTACATGGCCCCTTTCTATAACTGTTATCAATGGCGATCCCCTGGGCTTCTTCTAAAGAATGTTTTCTATGGGAGGCTTTATTAAACAGTATGGGTTTTGGAGTGGTGTTTGAAATGATTTCATGCCTCTCACCTACAAGGAACGCTTAATAGCCTAATAGTTATTACAATTACAGCGCAACTAGTGTTAATCTTAAGCTTGCGTGTTAAATCGTAGTCTATGTGCGTGAATACGGGACTTCAATACCATCTATCCCTATACGCGACTTTAATGGTGCTGAATTTCCATCCTGCTTACGAACCGGTATCAGCCGCATGTTATCTATTAAAAGTGAGAAGTATTCATAAGCAGGCTTTGGAACATCAACCTCTACGAAGATCTACGTTTCAATGTAAAGAGTTTAGTGCCTCTTATCTTCTTTATTTGATTTGAGTAGTGGAGAGATGAAGTGAATGCACAATTTCATTCAGTCCATATCTTGCTAATAAGCACGGTAGAATAACCTCAAAAAGAGTTTTTATTGATGTCTTGGAGAACAGGGAACGTGCCAAAGGCTGACTTTACTCTCGGCCCTTCTATTTTGGGCAGTTAAGCACTCCTCCACTTTTGTGGCTCGAGCACCTCTACTACTTCGCCTTACTTAGTGAAAATCCAGATACAAGTCCTTTAAACTAGAGTTTTCTTCTTGCTACTATCAATGCCGTGTCTAGAGTCTTTCCTAAAGGCAAAAGGTACTATGCATAGGCGAAGTATATGCAGTCCCTAGCGGTAAGGTAATGGGGCTGCTGGTATGGTTTAGAGTGCGGTCCAACTAGGAAGGTCAATATGGTCGCCACAGTGGCTGCTATCGAATCCAGCCATGGTTGAATACCAAGTGTTCAGATCACAGGAGGAGAATATGCATCGTGGATAGGAGGATCTAAAAGAGGTTCACCGTACTGATGGAAGGTACTTCTGTCGTCAACGCGTACCTCCCTCTCGTCTACTGTAAGAAGGATGCTATCAAGTGATAGTAAAGTACACTTAAAAGGCCATTTGAAGGAGCTAGATGATGGTATTAAGTACTTACCGTGTTATTTGCATTTCAACTATTGCTGTGGATACTTCGTTTAAAAGGGAAGAATCAAATAGTAACTAATTGCATTGCTAAACCCAGATGAGACTTGTATGCCATAGGCAGCCCTCCCAGGACAACCCTTACTAAAAACTTCATATTCGAAGTGAAGAGGGTGAAAAGTGTGCCATGAAATGTGCTAGTAAACCATATTGTCAACGCAAAACGCACAAAAGGGTTGTGCAAATTTGAATGAGGTGGTTTGAGTGCTGTTGGTCGATAATCTAGTCATATGGGCATAATGGCAAGTTAGCTAAAACTGGACAAGGTCTGTGATTTTTCCTAGCCATTCGTAACAGTACCATGTGGAGAGGCGCTAGAAGTAGTGACATCGGCAGAACGGGTAAATTCGAGTCGAAGAGTCAGGGGAATGTTGAAAGCTCAACAGTCTACTTCGTGCTTTCTCCGGAGTGGAAAGCAGCTGTCACAGAAAAGGAAAAGGTCTACCTCATCGTTTGTGCCCTTTTTTATTTCGTCAGTTTACTTGTCTTCTCGTACTGTCTGGTTTTAGATAAAACTATGGTGCATTCTTTGTGTCTTAAAGTGTTCTTAAACACGCAATCTCGAGTTCCAATCCTCCAGAAGGTTAATCTCGGAGCCAAGGTATGCATCTCTCTTCCATTTCTATGCACATTAATAATAAAAATATTGCATGAAAATAAGTTAACTACAATAGAGACAGAGAGTTATGTACGCTGAACCCTATCGGTATTAAGCTTCACATCAAGGTCATCCATTCTAGATAACTTTCACAACCGGTATTTGGTACAGAAGTGCAGAAACGTTAGTCGAACCGCAAAGAAGCCCCGATACCTATGTTGGCGCCTACCCAATTATCCACGAGAGGCTTAACGAGGCATATTCTCTGTACTACAGCTGTTTGGATGCTCACTTCCGCACCTCGCCAGTTCTCACTGCCTCCAGTCTCTTTCTAGTCGTGGGGAGCGTAACTTATGCTTTCGCAGGACCGCTAGTCATCCTCTCACGCTCTGCGTTTTACCACTGCATCATGATAGGCTCACTGTTACTGGCTTCCTTTGTCCTACTTAATCTAGCAGCCTGCAATTTCCTTTATGACTGCCTTCGACGCTCACAGTCCACGCAGATAAACGACAGTGGAACCTATGTGGAGAGTATGTACGGCACTACTCTCTTTGATATAATGCCCCACATGGAAGACGCCACCACTGCAAAAGTGGCCACCTACCTCACTGTGCTGGGATTCCTTCCTATGGCCATTATGGGAGGCATGGCGGGGAAGGTGTTGGGGAGGCCAGTGTAAAAACTGATGAATCGTATAAATGTTTCATTACAATTGAAAGCTATCACTTCCTAAATCCCAGATTCTAAACATTATTTCATATAAGTTAGGCAGTAATCTGGTCCTCCATTCCTACCCAGCTCTATCAAGGATCCTCATTTTATTACTAAACTTTCCTACAAATGAGATACTGTTAATCTTAAAACGCTGACTTCACTAAAGTGGGCATTAGCAGCAGATGAATTAGTCACATCAGTAATAGGCAGTAGATTTCCATGTACAAGAAGAAAGGGATATTTAAAGTATAAGGCCTAAAGAGCTGTTTTGAGTCGTGATTAAATAAAGCCATTGAATGTCTTCACGTATCAAAATTAAATTGCCAAGAAAAATATAGCAACTAAGGCGATTTATCACCCAGACAATAGGCACCTTGTCGATTGACTAACTACAGCCTCCTAATCTAAAAAGTACTTACATAAAGTTTTGCAATTTTATACATTGACAATGTAACAAGAATGGTATGAGAGTGAATGTTAGTTTCGACTAATGTCTTTGTTGTGGTGATGTTGGCTGTCACGTTGAATGGGTTCTGCTGAGGCGTGGCTGCAGTGCTCGCGGTTGCCTTAGTATTTGGCGCTTGGCATCTGGCATTGGAAATTTAGGAGACACGGCTAATGGGTGAGCATAGTGTGGGCGAAGGTCACTCCTCCTAATCGTTGTGGCGTTGGTGCATCACTTCATCTACTTCATCCAAGCCCACCTCCTTAGAGGCGCTGACCTGATATGGTCTCACTTGGCATGCAAGATTTACCATGCCACCGATTTTAAGCGCCGCAAGAAGACTCCTCCGCCTTCACCTGCGTAGTGTATTGTGTCGCTGCCTCCTTCCTTCTCTCTGTCAAGCGAATGATAAGAAATGACGGCTGCAACACGCATTCGTTGGCAGTCTCACCGCATTAATACCGACGCTCAAACAAGACAACGTCCCACACTTGCATATCTTCAAATATTTGTCCTGCTCATCACCACCACTACCACTACGACCGCCTTCCCTGTTACCCCATTGATCGCCTACGAATCGACGCCCCAATTTGCCCACATGCCCACACTCAAATGGACAATTCCTTGCCACACTTCAGTCACTTCACCTTAACTCTTACTAATCGGTCCTCTATTCTAGCTTTGCTTACACCAATCACACACACGCACACACACACACTCATTTCGCAGTCTCTTGCAACATCCACGCACGATCAATAGGTCGGCCGCATCGTCGCAATTGTCACCTTTGCTATCGTGGAGATGGGAGTCTTATCAAAACGCGTTGCGATGTATTTGGCACTTCTATGAGGCTATTTATTGAGTGTCTTGCATGACCACGATGGCTTTGCCTTCTTGGTGACATTCACGGCGAAGGCGATACAAATGCTAATGCGGTGTGTGAGGGAACTGCAACATTCACCTGCATTGTAGATCCGTTCTGCGGAGAGGGAAGTAGTGCTGCCAGACAGCAGTGCTCAATGGCCGTGCAAACGTCGTGTCTGCCAGGACCTCTACGCTTGACGGCTGCTCGGAGGCTGCGAGACGACACATCAATGCTACGACGCCTGCCACCACCGGCCTCAGTGGAGGTTGACTCGACGACCCTCAGGGTACCACCACTCTCCGAGGCCGAGGAGGCCGCCCTTCCCACTGGGGCCGGTCAACACCGCACCGACTCAAGTGAGTTCCACTCTCATCCTTTTTCACCTCCTTAACTTACACTCTAGAAGTGTGATTTTGGATGTGGATGTGGGTAAATAAGTGGGTAAATGGGTGGGTGCAACAGAGCGTCTTTACATGTAGCTACGATGATCTTCATGCCGCGTAGTGCTATGCCAGTCTCTCACATTCAAGGATATAACAGGCTCTAGAGGTAGAAGAATACATCCTCCACCGTTTTTATTACCCTCCTCGCTCTCCAAGTGTTAGTAATGGTAACAGCATTGTTGTGTTAGATTGCCTGACTTGCGAACATGGTGCACATGGGCATGGCTCGTACCTTCTCTCCTTTAGCTACGCGGAGGTGGCAGGAGCAGATGGCCCAACGTCCACTTAAATTGCTTGTGCTTCTTCTCCTCTTCACCCTCCTCAACTCCTTGCCCTTCCATCGACTATTCCGACTTTTGTAGATCCAAAGAGTCGGTCCTCAATCAGGAGTAGATTTGTCCGAGCACTTGGGAGGATTTGCTGCTGCAATGGGAGTCAGAACCTCACTTAAGTACGCCATTCCACTAGTCACCTTCCTTCTACCTCCCCCTCTACTTCCCATTCCGTGTTGTCCTGTTTCATACTGGTACAATATAGCGTTCCTTCTTTTTCTTATCTCAATGCCCCGCCTTTCATGTGAGTTGTATCTGGTAGCAGGTTGGAGCGTCTGCATTGGTGATGTGGGTGGGTAGTTGGGAAAGCAGATGTGTAAGTGGGTGGGTGCAGGTTTTAGGAGACGCATTAGTCGACTACTTCTGGTCGGTTCACTGCTGCATCACAATCACCTCACTGTCTTCTCCATAACATTTCGTCATCACGTAGTGCTGATAAATGACTAAAGAATATGAGTGGTTGGTGGGCATTTGTACAAGCGCGCACTGTCATGCTTATTCTGTTAGACTCCCTTCGACACATTTCGCCTCCCCTCCACCCCCCATTTCCTAATCTTCTATCAAAACTTCAATAATGTTAGCAGGCACATCCCACGAGCGATGATTGTTCACTCTACCCTTCCCTCACCTCATGTAGTGTCACATTGGATATGCCAACGACACTCGTAGCGTCAACACTCACACCCAGGCCGAGAGTGGCAGTAATAGTTGCATTAATTAGGTCTTCCCACACCTCCCTCCTTCCGTAATAAGCCTGCACTATGCCCTTGGTAAGGCAAGGGGTGTTTCTAAGACCACTAAGCAAACGCGGTATCCACTTAACCATTCTACGGCCGTCTGCAGGCGTAACAGATGCACACGACAGCAGAATGTTCACTAAAATGATAGAGCAATTGAAAGATGATGATGAAGAAGAGAAAAGATGGAACTCTGGCACTAGCACTCTTATGGTTGACATACTAACGGCAACACAGAGCCCATTCTTCACCACAGTACATTGCTGTACGCCGTGCTTAAGTGTAACCCCTATATGCACCCACTACTTAAGCAATTTTGACCTCCCTTATGATCTGATCCTCTTCTTGCATAGACTGTAGAGGTACAACGGAGGCAAGTAGCACATTCTGGGCAAAAATCGGAGAGATAAGAAGTCAACAGAAGCCACCAATATCCCTCCTTTGCAGACTCGACCACCTTTTCCCCATTTGTCCAAGTTGCTTCGTGTATTTTCAGTATTGTTGACCACTACCACTCTTTGCGCCATTAATCTTAATTTTCCGCAAATTCTTCGGAAATATGGGTATGTTTGCCTAGACCTCTCTACTCGTGTTACCTTTTGCTTGATTGTGTTTGTGTAACTGACTCGCTGGTGAGTCATTAGAGTACGCATCGAAGTTCGCAAATGAAGTGCTTTTTTTTAACAGAATGGATTGTAATCAAGCTTAATTTTTTGGCAAACGGTTGGAGGTGGCGTATGTTATTTTCTACTGTATGAGTGAAGTTTTGTCACTATTCTTGGTTATAATGGAGTTGGTTTCCCTCTTAACGTTTTTTGCAAGGACAATCGCAAGCACTAAATGCAGTGCGTGACAAGAATTGTAATTTCAAGTGGTCTTTCCAACCGCCAACCGAATAATGCCATTGGTAAAACATTGGTGCGGTTTTGGTAGTCAGCAATGCATTTTTATTGCTAAAAGCACTGATTTGAGAGTGATTGCGGAACTTAGCAGCGTGAGTTGACATTCGCTTGCATTGTACTGAGCGACTTACAATCAGTTATTTTGTTGTTGATCATCGGATGAGATGGGCGAGAAGCAAGGGGATGAGGATGAAGAGGGAAGAAGATGCAAATGTAATGCTTAAGCTCCCGAGGTGCGGCAGCTTTCTTGCGGATCACTGGTGATTAAAGAAGAGCTCCTGCAAGCTGTTGGCTACATTGCACTTTCTACTTAAAAGTGTTTCACAAAATGATCAGTTGTTTTGGAATTGCAGTCACCATTCTTCGCTTGTAGTCTCTTCCTCTAATTGCAATGAATGTCTGTGTATTCATATTTGGAGCACAAAAGGGTAACGGTTAACTACTGCACACTGATTGCAACTGCAATTAGGAAGTTATCAAATGTGCCAAAGACATTCATAAATTCAACCTGTCGGTAAAAAAATAAGTTTTCATTTGTGATAAAGTGGACAGCTCCTGCCCTATCTTGTACCAACGATGACGGGGACTGACGACAGACAGTAGCGGAACACCTTGTTGGATAGGCAGTGTTAGGCCATTCTGTAAATAGTTTGTGAGGTTATTCTCGATTTACCATGTTTAAAGTAAGTTCTTAGCTACACATTCAGTAGGTAACATTTTCTCTCAAAATGTTGTGAACTTTGTGCTTGATCAGAGTGCGCTGACCTTTTGCATGCCCAACTGCGACAGTCCAGGACTGTGGCTAGCTTTCACAACCCTCAACTTTAAATTGTGGTTTTTAGACCTAATCTCGTAGGCCGATTTGATTTAGCGTCTTCTGGCACTGTGGAATTCTGCAAGTGTGACAGTAAATGATCAGCAATTTACAATTTACCTGAATGTCCGACCTACTCTTTGTTTTGCTTAAGTACAAAACACACACACACACAACTGAGATGACCGTGGACTGGGCCTGGTTGCCAAGCTCTGCAAGAAAAGTGGGCATCTATTTCCTGAAATTGTGCCTATCTTGACTTATGCCTCAGTTACCGCCCATTTCCAGTCCTTTGTGCCCTAGTTTTGAAGTCAGCTATTAAAGTGCTTTACATAGCTCATACTGAGACAGTTTTCATTCCTTCATTCTCATTTCGTGCGTAGAAACGTCATTTGGCGATGCATTCCTTCCAAGTATTGTCTTAATAACCTTTCGCTAAGCACACAAACTCTTCCTGCCTTCTAGTCAGTTTGAATTGGCGCTAATCACAGGCGAATCAGGTAAATTCATTGCCAATGTGATTTTGCCGATGGGCTCTGCGAGGTGTAATGCTTTGATAGTCTGGTGAATTCGATACTCAGTCCCACGATTCGCATCTTTGCAATGTCTAGGCACGAGCTCCTGGACATGTCAGCAGTCTCTCTTCAACCCATCTGTCTGGCCATTGAGGCAGTGTTCTGAGTCACACCACCACGACAGTATGCTATGGCAAGAGAAGTCTTGGTCGCTGCAACGCGTCATCCGACTAAATGATTGGAAAAAACATGAGCTTTTATGCAAAAACATGGTTAAGGAAAGGGTCTTTGTCGCCACAAAATTCTGAAGACATAACTCATGGGAATGCACAGTATCTACTTGAAGGTGAGGCTCTCGAATTAAACCGAGCTAGGAAGGTGTAATGGCAGTGATGAAGTGTGAGGTCGGCGGCTCATCAAAAAAATTACAAATTACATTGTCATGCAAGTCTACTTGGCTCTGAAATTCTACCTTCTTCACCTCTCAATACAATTTATACCAACGATCGTCTTCGTAAAGCAACGCTTATTTTTAAGGTTGCAAAACGCACACCTTTCCTGATGCAACAATTGATAATTGAAAAGTTTCTGCCTGTAATAGGATGCATTCTTGTCTCTCACCCTACACATTGCTAGACAATGTGTGTCAGCATTGACAAGGGTGGTTGTGAAGGATGGATGGTGGTGAATTGTACTTCAGTTAATAAGGTAAAAGTCTTGGCTAGGGTCAAACGAAATGAAGGGCAGATTCATCCATTATTCCAAAGTAGCGGCTGAGAATCAAATCTCACCCTGATCCAGTTTCACAAATACACCCGATTTGCCCATTATGTCAGAGGACAGGTCTTTGTAAACTCCAAACTGAGTTTTGCATTCAGTCGGGCGCTTCGACTCGTCTACTGATATCCTAAAAGTTGCACCAACATCCGGCAGTGTTTTCAATATCTTTGCCGTCATCTCTGTAGAAAGGAAGAAAAAAAGGCAGTGAATTGTGCTGAGGTGCCGGCACCTCGTTCGTGAATTTGACATCCAAAGCTCACAAGGCAGTGACTACATCAAGTTAATTTTATTAAGGAGGGTCGAAGTTGGAGAAGTGCAAATCACCTGAAACACATTAAGAGGTTAGCAGAGCACTAACCCCGTGCAGAAGGTTTGGCACCACCAGCAGTTTTGTGGAAAATTGCAATGCACTTCGGGTCAACTTAATCCTACTCACTCACTGGGGTACCAACATCAAGAGGTGGTCGAGTGGCCAAAGAAATTGGAATCGCCACTGTGCCAGTGCAACTTCACTGGGTGGCACTGCAATGCCTGAATCCCCATTCCAAATAAGCAGTATGAAACAGTAAGGAGTAGGTGACCATCAAGGCCGTGCATCGCAGATAAAAGTAGAAAACAATGTATGCTTTTGTTTAAGGAGAACAGACATTACCGCATATTTCGTCAACGGTGAGCTTGTTGTCACCGCCATATTCCTCGGGCATCAGCTCTTTCAAACCCGCAACCTCACCGAAAACGGGGCTAAGATCGGAGCCCAACACCGTTGTCTACAAAATTTGACGGTGCTGAATACCTTCAACGACGTTGGACATCTTAGTGACGCGTGAGACTCACCCGTGATTTGATTTTCTCATTTAACCACTCGGAGTAGATATTGAACAAAGTCTCAAACACTTTTGGAGCATTGTAGTACACTATCTTCTTTATTCGGAAGGGCAGACACTCCTACAATTGGTTTGGCAGTCAGAAAACACAATACACAATGTGTGCAATGAGAGGTAGCATAGCAATGTGAGTGGCTGGTGTCTAGTCTCCGCAGTTAAAGCAGAATAGAACGAGATGCATACCTGAAAGTACTTTGTTGCAAGTTTCGATAACTTGGGGTCAAACATTCGCATAATATCCTCCTTTCTATTGTTCGACAGATCCATGATCATGCATATACCGCCAATCTGCACTCTGGGATCAACTATACACATATCATTCCATATATGTGATGCGCTCTGCAGCTCGGCGATCGAGACTGCATCCAGATTGAGGTTTGCTAAATTCAGCGTTAAAAATGAGGCGAAATTTCGCATTTCCATGGTTATATGTTAAGCAACAAGAAAGCGGTGTGAATGGCCAGGTCGTGATAACTTACCGCTCTTCATCAAAACGACTGCAGTGCCTTCATGTGTAAACCCCAGTGGCACCCAGCACCTACACAGACGGACTGTGATCAAAAAGGCGCTTTCACTGCTGTACATACAGTTTCCAGCATTTAAGTCACTTTGGAAAAAGAGTTTTCTCCAAAAAATGAAGGAGAATGGATGGGAGAGGATTTACCAAACTTAGCACTGCAGCACCACCTATGAGGACAAAATGCGACAATGGACATTTAAGGAGACAACCTACCTGTATGCAGCTATGACATAATAACATAGAAGTTTATGGGATGCCATGAGTTTTAAAAATGGTATAAACGTACTTCATGTCAACAAACTTTCTCCAAATTTTTCTATTGTTTTCCTGCTCCTCGAACCACAGAGGGTAGCCTTCAGTGGGTGAGGTGCGAAAGGTGCAGAATTTGTCCAGACGCTGCTGTGCTTTCATATGGTTGTACTTCGAATGACGCAAAAATGCCAACAAAAACGCATCATCTATGAAAGTGAAGATGCAACATTACTGTCGCATCCTCAAGAACGAATGTCAGTAGCCAAGCTGAGTGCAGTGTACTTACTCACACCAAAATGCAATTAATAACTTTAATTTTGCTTGATAGCTGCATGAACTTAATGAATACATGAGGTGACTCGATTCGCATCCCACTTAAAACTTTGTAACCGCTATAATAAAACAAAGTACAACTACCGAAATTGCCAAAATGAGGAAAAATAGTTAGTGAAACCCTATTGTCCCTTCTAAACGCGTTAAATGGACTAGTGCGGTGGGGCTCAACATACCTGTGGTGCACTTCAGGTGAGGCATGGATGCAAGCCAACGTCGAAACGATTCCAGGTGAGCTGAGATTTGATCGGAGTTCTCGCCCAATTCCTTTGCCGCCCGCTTCTTGTACACGGAGGGTAGAGGCCTTTTGGCATCGTACAATGAGTAGTGCACTCCTGCTGCTGCTGCTGCTGCTGCTACTGCAGTCTTTGGCATCTTCGAGGACTGAATTGGGCTATAGAAGCTATCCACCACCAACAGTTGTACCAATGACTGCTCCTCACCTACACTCTCCACTCGACTGTGCTTTTCTGTGTTTTCATGAGACCATTACTTGTTACAACGACCTCGTCACACCCTGCTGCACCTCTCTATGTGAGACGCCTCATAACACGCTCAATCAGCGACGACAGTGCTCAGTTACTCCCATTGGCTCTCGCCAGCGATAGTCGGCAACAGGGTGTGCTGTCACGAGTTAAGCTTTATTTCCCTTTTAAAACGTGCAGACTGAGGGGCGAAAAGAGGCCTGTAATTTACTTAGTGCAACGAGAACGCTGAGAAACACTCTGGTCTGGCGTCTGCTTGCACGCCAGTGGTGACAACTGAAAGCTTTTCCCCCACGCCTCGCCACATTAAGCATGTGATTTCTGGGTGCGCGCACATAGTGCTTTGTACCAAAACCTTAAGGCCATAGTTGAAGTAGCCCGAAATTGACGCTGTGATCTCCTACAAGAAGGGTTATTTAAGTCGGCGTGAGCATTCATTCATACCTGAGTGACTGATTCATACAATGGATGGCTGAAGCGTCACACATCCAATGGTTTGGTAGGTTGCCACTGTAAGAATATGTTACCTGTTGATGACCAAATGGTAAAACCTCACACCGATCAGCTCAACACCAATTGAAAATATTATGACATTTTTCTGCTTAAAAAAACATCCATTGGTGAAAATAAACTCCGCCTTGATTGACTCAAAACAGGGTAACATTGTCGCCTTTGAAGATTCGTCTATTCCATATATTTAACAGGACTTGGAATTAGAGCAAGGATGACTTTAAGTAAAGCATTTTTGAATAGTCAACTAAAATGGCATTTCATGAATTTGTTTTACTTGGCAGCCAACTTTCTGCCTCGTAGCAGCATGTCCCAGTGTGAAAGGTACTTAATAATATAATTTCCAGTTTTGGCTTTAATACAAACACCTGCATAGTACTGTGGAGGAGAGCGTTCGCATGATGATGGGAGGATTCCTCCACCTTCCACTTTCGATACCGACCAAATGTGACATTAATCTGGACTCATGCCTCTTGCGCTTCAAGTCTCCCTGCTACCCTGTAGACTGCTTCACTTTGAAGTCTTTACAATATTAATGTTGGTCGTAAAACTAATCTGTCCATGTAGGTGGAAATATTTAGTCCCATTTCCCTTCAGCAATCACAAGGGTCTGTGAACACTGCTTGTGATCATGTGTCGAGGAGGGTAACCACCGATCATACTTTAGTGCACTTGCAGGTGATAGTATGAATTACAAATCCGCCACAGTTTCCATACTGAGACGCCACAACTTTATGAAAAGCAGGGAAAATGCAAATGGGAATATTGCTAAATTAATCTCAATGTATGTGACCGGTCTTGACCCCAAAGGCAGCACTGCATTTCTTGTGCATTAACTTCACTAGTCGGAATCGCTGGCAGGCGGTCCCAACTAGTAGCTGTCAAAATGCTCGCTGAAGTTCGCGGTATGCAAAATGGCATAATACAACATTCTTTGTGACATTTTAACGTATCATACATAAATTGCAGCATAAATCCTCAAAAACCAATGCGAAAGGTTGAGACAAAGAGAGGAAGGTACGCAACACTTGATCCTTCAAAACCACGTGAGAGCATCCATTTGATGATAAGTGTCAGTGCATCGCATATTCCACCGAGCCCAGCCTTCAAAGCATGCATGTTGCGGTATCAAACAGACACTTTGAAAGGTGTAAACCTACGCATAGCCGCAGTACGGCAAGCTGGAGCGAAACGCCTGCCAACGAATAGGAAGCTCCTACCCAAAATTAACAGTACACTCAAGGCTGTGTGGTGAGATCTGTCAGTACTTCATTTCTCCAAGGATTGAATGCGACAGGCTTACCATCAAACGATCGTGTAGCACATCACAAATCCTTAACCGAGTAACAACTCTCGCATACCCGCACAACCCGGCCTTTCAGTTGAACTTGACAACTGTAGTTTCGGTTTCCTGGAAATGTTAACATCGATCGAAGTAGGTTGGCGTTCAGAAGGATAGTAAAAGTAATGGTGCGCTCCCTCTTTAATTAGGCCCATCAGTTTCCAAAGCCTCCCCTCGCTTCCATATCTTCCGGATTTGGTACAACTTCAACTTCCCACTAATTCCCGTTTTCACCGCCTTTTTATTGAATAGAGTTGATCAAGTCACATGCACGTACTAATGGACATGCCACCCTTATTACGATGAGTACAAACACAAAAGAGCATTCATTCAGGCACTGAGTAGAGATGGCATGACGAAGGAGGTAATTTGAATAAGGATGTGAGGCTATGCCACCAAGAAGGGATTGCATCACCACGGGGGCAGAGAAGGCTAACCCTTTTTTGGAATTTGGTGTCGTATTCGTAAACAACTGCAATACCAGATACTCAGCTACAATTGAGATAGCAAATTGGTAGTACTCCCACTCCTCCTGTCCATCAGCATGCCCGCACCAAACTATTCACATTCATCAATTGCACAAGGTGGTACACCTGAACTAGTTTCATCGAAGGAAGTAGCCACCATAAGCTTCGATTAGACACGATGCCAACTGCATGGGTAACGAGATATGGTAAACGTGCGATAAGATGGCAGCATCCTGGTGGGCGATGCTGCGAAAATGAAACTCGACTGAGGCTAATGCAGCGACAGTGTTTGTGGTCATTAGACCGCCGCCGCATCAAACTTGACACAATGTACTCGTGCTGAAGGGCCCGTGCAGCTAGCTGTTCGAATGCATAGATACTGTTAAGACCCTCAAAACAAGGAGGACATGAGCCTACATTATTGCGGGATTACTAAAGCAAAGTTAAGAGAGTTGAGGTGGTAATCTCCGTGTTGGCACTTAGAGGCAAGTTTGTACCGCGTAATTACCAGTTCGAGAGCACATCTTGCTCTCAAAATCACTCTCTCAACTACTTAGTCTACTCAGCTGACAACAACGTTACCTGTAATTGCATTATTCGGTTGCCCCACTTACCAATCGACGGTTGTACGCGTGCGCCAGGTTTGCTACTTAGAAGTGTGCAGGATAAACCATCTAACGATTCTGTTCGTTGTCAAGAAGCAAAATAGGACTTAGGAGTGAAAGAAGGCAGCCTTTTATTTGTTTCAGCCGGTAGCAGGTGGTCAAATTTCATTCTGATTTAATCTAATGAATATGCCCAATGTATCTATCACGTTCGGCGGTAGCTCGTTATACGCTTTAAACCCAATCCTGCATTCTTTCAGTCGCTTTGATTCGTCTACTGCAATTCCGAAAGTCGCACCAGCATCCGGAGGTGTTTTGATTATTCTGGATTTGGCCTCTGTGAGAACAAAGGAAATGCACGAACCACCAAATCCCCCTTTAATATAGCTAAGATGCCCACTTTTCTAATGTCCTCTGAAGCTCAGATTTCCGTTAAACCAAAGTTATTTGTGGAACAGTAATTTTCTGTACGTCACTTCTATCCTAATCAAGCACTGCTTAAGAAACGGTAAATGTTCAATTCAACATCTACTATAACAACAGCAGCCACAGGCGTAGTGGACCGCGACGATAAGGCTATTGCTAGGTTTGCAAGGCTCCTTAAACCAGACCTCCCGAGGAATAGATTATAATGCGTAGAGAGATGGGGCGAGGAATTAGGCAATTACTATTCGTTTCATTGTTTTATCAAAGAAACCAAAAAGCAACCGGGAAGCAGATATGACCACATATTTCCTTAAAGGAGAGCTTGTTACCACTGCTGCACGATGCAGGCATTAAATTCTTCGGTCCTGCCACTGGTTCAAAAGCTGAACTAGGATTGGAGACCAGCAACATGGTCACAGAGCCATGATTTGGTGAATGTGCAGAAAGAGGAAGACGATTGATAATCAAATAAGAAACTCACTCGCGACCTTTTTTTCATTCAACCAATTCGAATAGAATTTAAACGGAGATTCCAACACCCTTGGAACATTGAAGTAGATCAACTTCACTCAGAATGGAAGGCATTCCTGCAACAAATGCGCCAACAGGGGGGATCATGGCCCATTTCAATGCCAAAAATTGATGCGAGCTATCTAGTCTGGACTAAACACTTCTTCCTTTTTATGGGTAAGGGAGCTCAACGCATCACCTCGAGTACGTGGAGGTGAATTCTTTGACCTAGGTTTAGGTGCAGTGGTAGCGGTTGGAAGAAGTAGAACGGAGTTAATTGTGCACCTAAACGTACCTTGTCGTAATCTTTGTTGCCTTAGGACCAAACATTTTCAGCAGATTACTGCTTCGAAGATTTGCAACATCTGCAAAAAGCATACACCACCAACTTTTGTCCTTGGATCAGTCATGCATACGTCATCTCCTAGTTGTAAGTGCGCTGCGCATCTCTGACATCAAGACAACTAGATGCATCCTCATCGATAACGCCCGCTGAGGCCAGCCAACACTGCACTCAAGTGCGTACCAATCCCTTCTTCATTTATTTCCCTAACTTGCCATGTAGGTGTGAGTGTACAACATAGAAACTTTACCAGCAACTACACGTGTAGTTGCACTGATTGTACGCCGTGTATCATGCCATATCGCGTAGTACTATGCCAGTCTCTCACATTCAAGGATATAACAGGCTCTAGAGGTAGAAGAATACATCCTCCACCGTTTTTATTACCCTCCTCGCTCTCCAAGTGTTAGTAATGGTAACAGCATTGTTGTGTTAGATTGCCTGACTTGCGAACATGGTGCACATGGGCATGGCTCGTACCTTCTCTCCTTTAGCTACGCGGAGGTGGCAGGAGCAGATGGCCCAACGTCCACTTAAATTGCTTGTGCTTCTTCTCCTCTTCACCCTCCTCAACTCCTTGCCCTTCCATCGACTATTTCGACTTTTGTAGATCCAAAGAGTCGGCCCTCAATCAGGAGTAGATTTGTCCGAGCACTCGGGAGGTTTTGATGCCGCACTGACCATTTG